ACCAGTTAAACAAAGACCTCCTAACCCTACACCTGGAATTGAGCAACAAAATTCACCCTCTACTTTGGGACAAGATAAAACAATTCACAACTTGGAGAGCTGAAACTGAAACCACTTACAAAAATGACAAACTCCTGAAGAAACTAAAGAAATTAGAACATGATAAGAAAGCCCCCAACAACTCACAACACCTGAAACAATTATTATACAATATTTCCAACAGAGAACTCACCAAAACAGAAACAGATGTCCTAACCAAAGGATTCAATTATGCTACAGCACCCCCCAAAAATCCCCACAGAATCCATCATTTGTGGAGTGGAATCCAGCCTAACTAAATTAAATACAGATGAAGCTGATAGAATAAGACACTAAGTCACTAGCATCCTATGCACAAGCAAACCACCCAAAGGCAACTTGCACAAAGAAGAACTAAAAGCCCTGCAAGCCCTAAAAAAGGATAGCAGCATAATCATACTTCCAGCAGACAAAGGGAATGCCACGGTAGTAATGGATAGAAAAGACGACGAAACAAAATTGACAGACTTACTCCAAGACTCCACATACAAACCCATAAACACGGACCCAACCACATATCTGGAAAAATTAACCAAGAAGAAAATTATAACCAGCCACATGAGCAAAGAGATCCAACAGACGATCATCCCAAGAGAAAAATCTTCCAGATGCCCCAAACTATATGGCCTCCCAAAAATACACAAAGAAGGCATACCTCTCAGACCATAGTCAGCTCCAGAGGAGCACCACTACAAAACCTAGCAAAGCAGCTACAGCCCCATGCTGAAACAGCAGCTTCACATGTACAAAACTCATACCACCTCTTGGAAATGATCAAAGATCTACACTTGGAACAAAAAGATCTGCTTGTAAGTTTCGACGTGGTTTCACTATTCACTCAAGTCCCGATAAAAGAAACCATAGAAATCATCAAAAATAAATACCAACCAGCCAAACACCTCATGGAACTAGCAGAACACTGCTTAACCAACACATATTTCATATACAAAGGACAAAGATACAAGCAAATTGAAGGAGCCCCTATGGGATCACCACTGTTACCCGTCATTGCAAACCTGTTCATGGAAGAATTCGAATCCAGAGTCCTAGCCAATGCCACCCTCAAACCCAACTATGGCTAAGATACATCGTTGACATATTTGTTATTTGGCCCCATGGAAAAGAAAACCTAAACAATTTCCTAACACACCTAAACAGCGCACACCCCAAAATCAAATTCACCATGGAAACGGAAACAAACAAACAACTACCATTCCTAGATGTACTAATTTACAAAAAAACAGATGGCACCAACCGCTCCCTCAACACCCAATCCCACCACCACCCAGCACAGATAAACTCCGTGGCCAAAACACTAATTGCCAGAACCAAACGCCTGGCAGACAAGACACACATAAAGACTGAACTATGCACCCTGACTAAAATATTGACAACCAACGGCTTCCACAAAAGCAAAATCACAGGCCTGATCCACAAAAACACACTGAGACATAATGGAGACCTAGAAGATGAACAGACCTATGGAACAGCTGTCCTGCCCTACGTAAGAGGTACTACAGACAAAATCAGTAAGATACTACACAGGCATCACATCAAGACTGCCTTCAAAACAGACAGAAAAATAGCAGCCATCCTTAGAAACCCCAAAGATAAAATTGACCTGGAAAACCCAAGGCATATACGAAGTCCCCTGTGAATCATGCCCGGCCACATACATTGGACAGACCAGTAGAAGAATAAGTACCCGCCTGGATGAACACAAAAATGCAGTCAAAAAGCTGGAACATACTTCCTCACTAGTCCAACACATGAAAGCCACAGGTCATAGCATCGACTTCAATGGCACCAAAACCCTAGCCACTGTAGAAAACCCCAGCTACAGAATTATCAGAGAAGCCATAGAGATTGAAAAAAAGACCTGAAAGCATGAATAGAAGAGATGATTCCACCAGACTGTCAATTATTTGGAAGCCTGCACTCTCAAACAAAAAAATCTCCACACCACAAGCCAGCCAAACACCTGGGCACAAACAGACTCCCCCCCCCCCC